TTTTGTCCGTTGTCGAGTGGCGTCTGCAAGTCTGAGCTGCAAAGTTACTGATTTGCAAGCTGCATGTTAAGGCAGCCCATGTAAGTAATTTCTCCGGGCACCCCAGCAAAGGAGAACAAATCGCTGACAAAGGCGAGCGCTTTCGATTCAGCGGCGTCGTTAGGGCAACCCCAAAGTATTCCTCCTATAATAAGTTCCACTTCAAAGGGTTTCTCATTCAGCGGTGACTGCTTCGCACTTTTATTAAGTCCGGGCTTTTTCACTCGGAGGAATCATCTGTTTGGTTATTTTTCATCGTGTTTATTTTTCACCATTCACACAGTACTTGTATTAAATAAACAAAGAACAATCGCTCTGCAAATAAAAGTACTTAGGTGGGGAGAGAAGGAAGAGGAACTGGGGCTCTGGCGCCCCTGCCCCTCCCCCTCCACATCACCTACCCCACCCCCACTCGGCTTTCTCTCCTCCTGTCATCATTCTTTCTCCTTTCTTTAGAGCTGGGAGGTTCTAAGGGAGAATAAGCAAGAAAAAAAAAAAAAAGTGACTATAACTGTGTATACATATACAAATATATACATACGTACATATATGTTTTTCTAATATGAAAACTGACTGAACTAACTTGGCGAGAAGAGAAAGGTCACTGCAACTGTATCTTAATAGAGTGCCTCCAATGGTCGTGGACAGGCTGCGGAGACTCCCCTAGCCCTGTCCATTGCCATAGCAATCTTGAAGCTCTGCGTGGATGTCCCATAAAAGCAATAGTTTGAATTTCAAAGAACGTGCCTTTGAACTTCTCTCTGCCTGATTAAAAGACGGTGTTGTATGTGAATGTGTGCTCGGGAGTGTTTGTGAGTGGGCGTGGGGGCCAGTGTTTCTGGGAGGTTTTGTTCAGGGAGAGAGTGCTTTCACTGCGGGCCTCCTCCACCACTGCTCCAGACCTGGAAGGTTTCCATGGTCATGCGTCCTGTTGTGGTACTCTATGGGTGGATGGGCAAGCTGGTAGGGCTCTGACAGGATGGAAGTATTAATAAGCATCTGGATTGTTTTGTTTGCCTTGTGATCAGCCTTCCTTTGCTCTGATTTAAGGTGATCACTTGGGAAAACCAATTGTCTTGCCTCCCCCTTCTCCAGATGTTGTATTTCCTAACCAAAGTGGGATTTTTAAAAATCATTTCATAGCATAAACAGATAAAACTACAGTGGCCTCCCAAAGCTTCCACAAAATGAAAGACATCAGTTATGAGAATGCAGTAAAAACATGATGTCTGCAAACAGCTGGGCCCAGCTCTTTGGTTTGGGCCCCTTTTTTCTTCAGGTCCTAATGCAATGACATTTGTGTGCCCATTTCCAACTCAGGAGAATGTAATTCCCATTATGGAGCTCTTTCTAGGTACATTTGATTTTAGGAGCATTAGCTTTACAAAAGAGCATCCAAATGGGGGACTACAATACAAATAATCATATATTTGGAGATTCTCCTAGCTTGGAAAACAACGGTAGATGATTTAAACAGTGCTTGCAAGGGCCACGTTTTGCCTAGGGAAGATGAAGTCTTTGATGATAGCCAACTTAGTGTCAATAAGTGGCTTTCTTTGAGACATATTCAGATGGGAACGTCTTGCTTGCCAATTGCCATAGAAATCTTAACACACCATGAAGATTGTCCAAGCGCCAAGCCTTCCGTTCTGGACTAAATTACTTTGAAGTGGGGCAGGACGAGCAGTGGTCAATTTTAACTCTATAGACTGGACAGAGAACGCTGGGAGAGGGAGATTGTGCGTTTTAAAGCAGAAAATAAGAAGGGAAACTTGTTTTATACACTCTATACAAGGTTCTGCTCATTGTCGGATATCTTTTATCTTTTATATTTCCCATGAATCATTCATGTCTTGGTGGCTTTGTGTCACCCTTCTTTTCACAAGAAACTTCATTAGAGAGCTATAAGTTTTCCCATTGATTGGCGCCCCATTTATGAGTGTTTTTCTCCTTCATGTGCTGGTTATTGTCATCTGGTTTAAAACAACCCTTGGCAACCTGTTTCACCTTTACTATATTTAACAAACCTGACTTTCAAAAGTCACTATAACCTTTTGGAGAAATGCTTATTGACAATACTACCAATTGTTTTTAACTATTTGGCTTTTATCAGTTTTGTATTAAGTAACATAAAAATAAGCAAACATCAAGCCTTGTTAATGTACATGGCCAAATATTCTCATTTCAGTCACTTGAATATTTTGTTGCCATGGAAGAATCTAATTTCTCCTTCATATCTGGCCCAAAGTGCTGTGCTAAAGTTACTTTTATCTACTTAACTTCCAAAATAAGCTACAGTAAATTATATTTGATCTCACCACGATCTACGAGAGAATTTTAATGACCACTACTGTTTCATCCCACACCCATATCAGCTCAACAGTTTTGCTTTTTACCTTTCTCTTCTTATTAGCTTTTTCCTCTTCCTTTAGAAGTTAGGCACCAAACAGAGCTAAAATCACTCCTCAGTTTTTCACTGCTTAGAATCACTAAGCATAGTCCTAATTTTAACAAATGAATGCAGTAAACCCTGAGACTTGTGTTTCTACAAGTGTGAACTGCATGGATTAGTCTTCATAAATATCTTGAATTTTCTAAATTAAACTGTAAGTTAAACCAAACTGTAAAAATATTTTATTGCTTGAAGAAAGGCTAAAAGATCAAGGAAGGCCAACCTAATGTTCATTACCTTAACAACTGCTCTGTATTAAAAGAACGACAGCGATATGCCACTAGGTAAAATGTAACAATACATAGGAAGAATACCTTTATTACATTTTTACTTCATAGTCACTCTTGCTTTCTTTCTATTGGAGGTACACAGCTTTCATTTTAGGTGAATCAGAAACCAATAAATCTGTGGCAGAATTAACCTATGCATGGCAAAATACATAAAATACATATTCTTTTGTTTTGTAATAAATAAACCTGTAGCATAATAAAGAATAGTGCAACTACCATTGAAAAAGTTGTATAAATAAAACAACTCATTATACATCAGGAATATTTTGTCCTAATAAGTTTACGATACATAAATTATCCCTTCCAATTCATACCATCCTTTGTATTTGAAAGGACTTTGAAAGTGTGTATGAAAATCAAATAAACTTTAAAACTGTAGAATTACTTTATATTCAAGTTTTATAGTCTTTTTCTTCATAAAGGAGGGTCTGAGTGTTTCATATTTACTATAACAATCTGAAGACAACATTGAGGGCTTTCAAATGACAGCACCATGCACTGTACTAGTAATATATCTATAAACTATATATAATCTCATCAACACAATGCAAAAAGGACATGCAGGAAGAGTCTTGGTTTTCACCTTACATTTTTCATTCAAGTAAGCTTAAAAATATATTTTTCCACTTTCTTTCCCCCATTTTTTTTTTAAATAAACCATGGACACTAAATGACAATCTTTCACCAAAATGTATAATATAATTCTTTGGTGTGCTTTGAACTCTTCCAGGGTTGGGGTGGGGGAGAAGGATGATGTCTGAAAATAAATTAATTCAACTGTACAAATAAAAGTGTTCACATACAAGTTATTAACAATGACAAGACTACATCAACCACTCACCGCACACAAAACAAATTTCTACAAACCCTGGGGAGGGGGTGTCTTCAGGGTCTCTGAGGATAAATTAGTGCTCTTTAGTATATTTGTATGATGTTTCTGATGGACCACATTCTGCACAGGAGATGTGTTGTACCAAGTGAAAATAAATTGACTAAGTTATTGTCCTAGGTCCTTGACCTTTTTTATCCTGGCTTGACAGCTCTGGCAAAGGTCACACATTCATCAGTGTTTGGTGGTAACTATAAACCTTTTAAAAATTTTAATATGTATAGCAACTCCCTCCCCTCCTTTAATGTAAATCATATACTTCACACTGTCATTTTCAAATGGAAGAGAGTTTGGTGTGCTCGGTGCTCAGGTGGAAGAAAATGCACTAAAATGCAGTTTCAGGCATTACAAAATAAAGACTTCGCTAAAAAAAAGGTTGATACAATAGTATAAAAGAGTTGGCCTGCTTTAAAAACAACAGCTTTCCAAAAAAAATAGGCACAATGCCATCATCACACCTCTGCAGACTTGACTGTGAATGTTGGCATCCCAAAGAACTTAGGATCAAAAACATAATCTCCTTATTACACAAGAAGTTTGGACACTGTAAGAAGGCAGCATCTGAGATTTCAGATTAAAAGAAGAAAAAAAAAAACAGCAGAGAGAAACAAGAAAGCACTTGAATTTCTTCTATTTTATAAAAGATCACAGTTTCACAGTTGTTTATTGCAGCAGCTTTTGTTTCTCTCCATTTCTGCTTACACAATCACAGCAGCATAATATTTGGAGATATACTAAGGGTGCTGCGCTTAAAAAAAAAATCACATAAGTAAGGGTCCTGAAGAAATAATCCTGTATAAAAATACTTCGATAAGGTGAGATCAGTAAAAAAAAGTGTAGAGATTAAAAACCATAAATATTAGAACTTAAGGGGGTTTTTACAAATACTTTTGGACACAGGCAGAGTCCAGGAATCTGTTGGCAATGCAGCAAGTGTGTGGTTTACAATCAAGAAGCCTTTGCAAAATTAGGGCCCAATGAGTAGGCTCAAAAGCAGCCCACACTGTGGTGTCAAAGGCATTGGAGAGGCACTCTGGGAAGTGCAGAGGGCCTGGTTGCTCTATGAAGTTTTGACTTAATGCTCTTCTTCTCCACCTTTAAAAATATAAATATATATATATACATATATATTTTTTATTGGCAGTGTGTATCTTGATTAAGTAATCTCTTCATCCATTTCCCTTGGTACGATTTGCCCCCAGCCCTGTCCCCCCTGCAATGTACAAGTCCAGCTTGGTTGTTTTTTGTTTCAGAAAAAGAAAAAAAAAAAAAAAAAAAGCCCAAATATCTTAATTAAATTAATTAAATGTACAAATACCATAGGGTTTCATATTGAATAAATAGGGCTAATTAGACCAGTGGCAAGTCTGAGTCATGTGTTTGTCTCAGGCTCGGCATTGTCTCAGGTTAGGAGAGGGTCCAAGGACTCCCACATATTATTTCATCTATTAATAATAATACATTCTAGTGTATCGTCCGCACAACTTCAGCGTTCCCATACATTTCCTCATCTTCAGACTCAGAGGTGGTTCCGTTGCTGGAAGGTGTGTGGAGGTGGCTGGGGGCCCCACCGGCCTGGCAAACGTACCACTCATTGAGGTTGGTCACCTGAGGGGACAGAGTGCTGGAACGACTCCTGGCTGGGTCCAGCACCGGGGACAAGGGGGCACCCACCGGAGTCCCCATGGCTGAGTAACCAAGAGCTCCTGGAGAAGGTGGGGGGGACTTGCAGTGAATCTTCATGTGCTTCCTCAGAGAGCTCGGGTGAGTGTAAGATTTGTCACAGCCTCTGATCTTGCAGTAGTAGGGCTTGTCACTGGTGTGGACATGGGAATGCTTCTTTCGATCACTGCTATTGGCAAACTTCCTATCACAGCCATCAAATTCACATTTGAAAGGCTTTTCCCCTGCAACAAAACACAGGAAAGGTTAACAGTGGCTCTCCAAAGACCTCTCACTTGAGAAATCTTGGAGCTGAACCAGGGGTGCATTTTCCCATTCTCCCGAAGACCAACACCCAGCCTTGCTCCTAATCCCAATTCATACATTCCAGGATGCACAGGGGAAGAGCTCCCATGAAGAACCCTCCCCTAGTCTGGAGGTTTTGCTTGGACCTGGATTGTGAGAGGACAGGTGTCAGCACCTGTAGCTCCCAGAGGTCACAATGAGATCCTCAGGGCTGAAGTCCAAGATGCACCACTAAAGCCCCCCAGGCACCCCTGTACTGACTCCTCATACCCTTCAGGGTCTCAACACCCAAAACACAAGTAGAAGATCCCCTGTCAAGATTGACCCTAGTGATACTTCCAAAGCTACAAGTGGGGATGAGAATAGAAGAAAAATAAACACATACACTAAATTAAGTTAGGTGGGCCTGCAGAAAAATGATAATGGTACTGTGTTTTAGAGCGTTCCCAGTGTTTCATTGCTGGGAAGGGGCAGCAAGAGAGGATGTGGAGCTGGAAAAGGAAAGAAGATAAACCAAAGGCTCCTCTGTAGAAATAAAGGCACCTGTGAAATACACGACCGCGCCGTAAGATTTTACAAGGCTGGCTTGGCACAGAATAGGCTGTTGGCCTCTACATTCCATCCACTTCCTCCACAACATGGACAGAATAGCAGAAGAGAACACGAACAGACAAGGGTAAAGACCATAGCCTTAGCAAACCGGCCATTTGCCTACTACCTTAAGCAAATTTATAACAGCATTTTCCATTGCTTAATGATCAAAAACACTTTTGTAAAAACCTGGGGTGTCCTAGCCTATCACCCCTTTAAGCTGCTCTAACTATCTTAGGAACACAATGCCTTAAATACAAGGCCACTAGTCCAGGAAGCGGAAATGTTTAGTCAGACAACTGGAGATTCAACCGGAATGCACCTGGTGTTAAAAGGCAAAAGAGAAAAGAAGCAGTAACAGTAAATAGTGAGTTCTTTCCTTAGCACCTTAGGACCTATGAACTTGAAGTATTTAAATCCACAATTGAACAAATTATCTCATGCATATTATTACAAATAACATTTTCCTCGTATTTTGAGAATTTTAAAATAATAGCACCTATTATGGTGACATACCACATACAGCAGTTCTCTTTCTTTGGGACAGCTTATTTTTCAAAAGAAACTATTATGAGTCAGTTTAATGTACAAAAATTTCTGTGGTAAATTTTCTTATCCAACAAATTTTTCAGTGTATGTGTTTAATAGTTCACCAACGATGACTGCTTCAATGTGAGAGCACATTAGCACATCAGAAAGTATCCAGATGCCTGGAATATAAATTTTCCTACCCGGAAATATTGTTCAAAGATGAAATTAGACATCATCCAAACATATCTCCAACATTAGTGTACAAATAGAAGGAAAACACAGAACTCACAAAGCTAATCACAACCCTTAAAAATTCTTTAGAGATGATCTGCAACCAAAGAAAATTCCTTCCCACTAAAACATCAGTGATTTGTCCTGCTTTCCATACTACATTCTAAGTTGGTGATAATACTAATTTAACACAGCATTCTTGCTTTTAAAAATTATAATCAGCTCTCTTCAATATGGAGGCTTAAGTGGTTTATTCACTTTATGCAAATGTGCGACACTGCTTGGAATTTTCATGCCTCGGCCCAACCCATATATCCAGATTATAAAAAATATCCACTCTGAACGTTGCTGGTTGCTCCACTGCATGTAAGAAAAGCACTAAGACCCAGTTAAGGGAATAGAGGAGATGGAAACAAAGGTGGAAATTAGGGATAAAGGAAAGATGGCCGGAGAGAGCAGAAGAAAAAGCAAGTGTGAGCGAATGGCCCTGTGTTGTTTAGTGGGCTTACAGGGGCACGGAGCAGATTCCACCCAACTAGGAAAGCTGAGAGCCCAGTATTTGCATTTCAGATTCTGACAGAGGGGTCAAGGCAGAATTTAACTATGTAGAGAGTTCTGGGACTTGATGGGAAAGTAAAGGAAATCACTGTGTGTGAACAGTCCAGGAACTGCCAGTTCCTTCCACTACAGTCTGGCCTAGAGGCAGGTTATAAACGCAATTGAGGGCATTCGGGTCAGGGACCAGGGCCTTCAGCAGTGGCCTGGGGATTAGTCCCTTTGATCCATCTGTTTTGGGATCCCTGATAACCCATAAAAGGGAGAGCCTCCTAGTAGGGAGAAAAGGAAGTGTGCAAGGGCTCCCCTCTGGACACAATGCCCAATGGCTAAGCAGCCCAGGAACAGCCAAAACACCAGGCACTGGGCTTCAGCTGGATGGGGAGATGCCTTCCTCCTTCTGAGAGAACGCTGCGTGCCTCCTGGCAGGACCCAAGCGGCCATAAGGAGGAGGAAAGGAAATGCAAACACCCAGGCAATGTACACCAGAAAACAAACCAGCCTCAGGTCCCATGGGCAGCCAGGGCCTCCAGCTCCCTACCCCCACCTGCCCCAGAGCCCACCAGCAGGCCACTGTTCGGTGTCACGCGTGGCCTGTCTGTCAGGGGCCTGAAAGCTAGGATCCGAGAATGGGACGCCCACTCCAGTCTAGAGGCCTGGGAAGGCGGGAAAGGCCTGAGGCTGCATGCACCATGTTTAGGGGGCCCCTTTGGGGACCGAGGGGCAGCTTCATTGTCCCTGGCTCTTGCCCCATGGGGAAGTGCTGGCTGGGCTCAGAAGCAAACAGCTGGCTTAGCAGGCCAGGGCGTTTTTACAAGAGCCTGGTGGGAAGTTTCCTTTTGGAAAAATCATTAAGGCGGACTGATCTCCATTAGGGAAAAATGGGGGCTAGGGAAAAACATGCTCAACGCCAGTCCTCTCCGGGACCACAGGGGAGGTCTGTGGGTTGTCTGCCGAAGGGGCAAGGCCTGGGGCGCCAGCCTGAGGCCACCCGGACTCAGCTGCTGGTCTGTAGCCCCCATCGCTCCCGACCTGCCGCTGGCCAGGCATCAGGGCCCACGCCCGGGGCTTCCTCCTCCTGCAGCCGCGCCGATAAATCAGCCAAGTGATTAGTGAATGTAAACTCCGGTTACTTAAGCGTCCTCGGAGGGATAATATTGCCTGTCCCTATAAATCCCGGCTGCGCTCGCGCTCAGCAGCGCTCCTGCCCGCTACGCTTGTCGCTTCCAAGCCTACGAGGGCCATACGAGTGCCCCACGCTGCAACCCCCCTTTACCGGACCATGGTACCCTCAAAGGCAGTGACTGGGGCCGACTGGGCTGAGAGGGTTCCCTACGACGCTGGGGACGCATCAAGTTCCGCGGCGGGGTAGGCCTCACTCCTTCCTTCCTCAAGGACCCCTCCTCCTCCACAACCTCTCCCGAAATGGACAGGAACTGGGCTGGGGGTGTAGCCGAGGGGTAAGGGGTTTGCCTGGCGTGACCAAGGCCCTGGTACGACCCCAGCAGTGCCCCCGCCCGAAAAAGGCCAACTTCTCCAGCACCTAGCACTCTAGAGTGTGGGATGTGCGGGTGACGGTGCTGCGTGACAGCGAATGAGTGCAAATGAAGGGAGTGTACAAGTGAAACAGGAGTTGAGGGCATGCAGTGTCGCAGAAACGGGCTGGGTGTGCATGAGAACAGGAGCGTCTGCACTGGTGTGAGGTGTGTGCACTGGTGTGCGGTGCGTGCACGTGGACTTTGTGAGTGGGGCGGGCGAGTGCAAGGGAGTGTAGTAGAGCAGGGTGATCTCTGGGGGCCGGGGGCTAAGGCAGCCCCCCTCTCGCCATCTTTATCCTGCCTGGGAGGCCAAGGGGTTCCTCCACCCCGAGGGGGTCACACCAAGCAGGCCCGATACCGCGGCAAATCCCACGCGTGCCTCCCAATGCGCGCGGCCTGCGAATCGTGGTGGGGGGCAGGAGAGGCAGGGGGCGACCAGGCCCCGGCCCCCCCCTTGCGCGTGGCCCTCCCCGGGCTCCGGGGGTCAGGCGCGTGGGGGGCTGCCGACCGTCCTGGGCGCCTTCCTGCTGCTCGGTCTGCGGCTGCTTCTGCTCCGGGCGGCGGCGGCGGCTGAAGCGCGTGGCCGGTCCCGGCGGAGGCTGCGGGCGCGCTGGAGACTCCGCGGTGCGCGAAGCCGGCGCAGGGCCTGTGTGTGCTATCGAATTACTTATTCGTAGAAAAAAAGAGGGGGAGAGAAAAAAAAAGAAGTCACATGTCCGGGTTATACGACTGCGAGGAGAAGCAGCAGAAGTAGGGAAAAATGAAAGCGAGCAGGAGAAGCGGCGGCGGAAGCGGCGCAGGCGGCGGCGGCCGGGGACAGACACCCACCTGTATGAGTGCGCTTGTGGATCTTGAGGTTCTCCGAGCGCGCGAAGACCTTGCCGCAGCCCGGGAAGGGGCAGGGGAAGGGCTTCTCGCCGGTGTGCACGCGGATGTGGTTGATGAGCTTGTACTTGGCCTTGAAGGGCTTGCCCTCGCGCGGACAGTCCTCCCAGAAGCAGACGTGGCTGCTCTGCTCCGGGCCGCCCACGTGCTCCACCGTGACGTGGTTCACCAGCTCGTGCATGGTGCCGAAAGTTTTGGAGCAGGGCTTGGCGCAGCCGGCGGGGGCCGGGGACGGTGGCGGCGGTGGCCCGGCCAGCTCGTCGGGGTCGATCCACTTGCAGATGAGCTCCTGCTTGATTGGCTGCCGCATGTAGCGCAGGAAGGCCCCGGCCGCCCCTGGGAGGTGGGGGTGGTGCGGGGGTTGCGCGGGCGCCGGTGGCGGAGCCGGGGGCGGTGCGTGGTGCTGCTGCAGGTGGGGCCCGGGCCCCGAGGCCGCGGCCGCAGCCAGGTTCAGGTTTAAGTTCACGGCTCCGTAGCCGTGCAGGGCGGCGGCAGCCGCGGCCGCCACTGCCCCGTAGTGAGCGTCCCCCGAGCGCGGGGCGAAGGGCGGTTCGGCGCGGCCATACAGCTCGGCCGCCGCGGCTGCAGCGGCCGCCGCCA